ATGCAGTGCCGCGGTGCTTTTCAGACTAGGGGCAACTTTCCAGTTGCAGGGATCTGGGGTTGTGCATCTCAGTGACAGATCTCAAGCGTGTCCAGTTCTGATCCATATCGAAAATGGTTTTGAAAAGTTTTAATAAAAGTTGACTTCGTTCAAATAATCTTCTTACAACTAAGACCATTTTTGGACCAAAGAGGAAAATTTTCAGTACCACAACCTTCAATTTCATTGATTTCAAAACAGAGTTCTCCTGCTCTTGCATAAAATCGAAGTTGCTTTTTATTACATTCATAAAGAAAACTTGGAAGTACTAATAAAGCAATAAATCCGGGGCATAGTCAAGTCAGATGTTCCTGCGCCCCCTCCCAGAGCTGGTCGAAGCTTTTGATACCGAGCTGGGCCCAATCTGTGCCTCTTCATTGAGCCAATCCAAGCACTCGTCAGACAAAGTATAACTGAAAGTGGAAGCGGGGGCTAGGAGTTCTCTCGTCCTCCATGCTGTGGCATATCGGGCAAACTGTGCACCTCGAACTGGGAAGGCAGCCGGATACTCTATCCCCTCTGGCGAGCAAGTCTGGTCATGACTGAACTGGCGTTGGAACCGGAACGGAAAGTAGAATACACAGTTAGTCAGACCAACCAACTGGATCCCGGTCTGCCGGAACATGCTATAGCTCATTGCTGGGAGATTGAGCCAAGGGCAGCGCCAGGCGATGCGGTCTGCAAACAAATTGCACATCCAGTTGAACCACCATCCCTCATCAAGGGCATCGACTAGGCGTTGTCGAAAGAAGTAGCTGCGAGCTGAGTAGGCTGGGCAAGAGTCCACAACCTGCAATTTATCCATCAACCATACCTGGGGAGGGATGAAAAATGAGAGAATGAAGAATAGAGAGATGTACGATGAGAGAAAAGCAAGACAAGGGTTTTGTGAGAAAAACCGAGCCTGAGGGCCGAGTGATGTGAGCAATACATATGTGAGATTGGGTGGGAAACATTAACTGCAGCAGTAGTGGACTCCTCGCAAATCTGGTCGTCTCCCGGCGATGGAAAACATCCAAGCCCATCAGCGTCTCAGCCAGTGTCATTGCAATATAACTCTTTCCATCCTTTAAGCCTTGAGCAACTTCAATCAGGCGAATGCTAGATCCACCAAAGCCCGACGCAAGCAGAAAGTGAGATAGCATACACAAGCAGAGGGCATGTTGTCGGAAACCTTGCCAATGATGGTCGCCACGGTCACCAGCGTTAGAAAAGCGATAAATCAATCCGAGGATGTCCAGTTCCCCATTACAGATCAGAGATCGAGCATCATGCGTGGTGAGTCCACACATCCGCCCTAAAGCTTGGGCGTGACCAAAGCGAAACTGAGGCAAGATCTCTTCGTAACTTTCAGATTCCATCAAAGCTTGAAAATCTTCGAAAGTCGGACACCAATGCTCTCAAGAGCAGGAATAAGAGGCCCTCTTCGTCCTCTTCTGCGGAACAGGCTCTACACCACCGGTACTATCTGAGCCGGAACTGTCATCCTCGGGATCCTCCTCAGCCTCCTTTTCACTCCCAGAACCAGGGTCGGAACCCTCTTCTCTGTCAGCAGATGTCTCTGACTGACGATCTGCAGCCTCCTCCTCCTTCTCGTCCTCATCGGGCTCCTCCTCTATGATATGTGCTCTGCGTCTGCGGGACGACTCCCCTCTCCTGGCCCCGCGAGAAGGCCAAGATGGCCTGGCTTCCCGAGAAGGTCGAGATGGCTCGGCTCCCCGAGAAGGCCTGGATGGCCTGGTCTGTGGCTGATATACTGGAGGCATCTGAAAATAAAAAGTGCAGTTTGAATACATCGGCTCAAATGTGTGTATCAGATACAGATGCAAACAAACTACATGAAATGAGGGTGCATACAGATACAGTATATGAATGTGGTGTGTGTCAGATGTGCTCTACACAGGCAACCTACCAATGCAGTGAAATGATCAAGTTCAGCATGTCATCGGAAGTATGATAAATGCGAGAAAATTAAAGAGTACCTGGACACCCATGATGGACAACTGTGCCTCTCTCCGTAAGACCACGCCCTCGAGTGCGGCCATCATCCCAAGCATCTCATCCATATACTCGACCGGAGGTTGCAGATACAAGTGCAAAATATCAGTAAAGGAATGAATTCCCAAGTATCTGAATGATAAATCAAAGCTGTAAAGCATATCAGCGGCGAATCAGGATCTCTGACATATCTGTGGTCAGACATGGGAGGCTCTATCGGAATCGAGTAGGGAGTCCCGAATCGCCATCCCGTCAGCTCGGTCGGCATGTCTGGCCACCTAGGATGATGATGACTCGGAGGAATCGGGGGAACCAATCCACCCTCACCTCTGGATGTACCAGCCCTGCTAGTGGAAGGGACGTCCGCGGCTCGAGCCCGGCCCGATGAGGGCATACCAGCGGATCTTCTCATCGGGGTACGGACTCCCGTCAACGAAGGCAACAAGTATGTGTGACGATAAGTCGCATACTCTCCCTGCTCCAAATGAAGAAATGCATCAGTACCCAACCTGGCATCGACAACAACCTGGGAAGGGAGCCTATCAGCGGTCCGCATGTCGTCTGGGGGTGCTGAGGGAACTTCCTGAACGGGGTAGCCCCATGTCTGGCGCAGGAAGCGCTCCCCTAAAAACTAGGCCCTGCCAACCGGCCCCTCTAACAGGATCCTGTACCGAGAGGAACCCCAGGCTCCGGCAAACTGGAATCGAGGTCACTACCCAAAGGCGCCCAAGGCTGCCATGCGATCTGCGGGTAACCAACGCATAAGCTGATCAGAAATCGTAAATGCGCAAGATAAATCAAAGATTGGAAACATGAAGAACTGAGAGTTCTGCAATACCTCTGATGGCCGTACTGTGTCAAAGTACTGTCGTAGATAGAGAAGAGACTCCCGAGGTCTCGGCCGGTACGGGCCCTCAAATACCAGCGAGTAAGGGGTCATGGGAGGCATCGCCACCTCGAGCTCCGGGGCTAGTGTCGGGAAGTACGCATAGATCCATAGCTGTGGAAAACATGGCAGTAGCCATCAGAATACAGAATGCTGAGTGCAAATTGTAAATACAGAATGCTGAGGGCAAGGTACAGAGATACAAAATGTAAAGTGTACAGTGTGTGCAGTGTACAGAGAATGAAAGAAGAAATGTAAATCAAAGAGGGCAGAAAGTACCTCCCAGGCTCTCCAATAACCGCCAAGTATGTTCCCCCGTCCGCGGGAGGTCGCGCTTATATAGCAATAAAGAGTGGCCAGGCTGGTGCCACCCCAATCATACCGCCGGACCTGTGATAGGTCCACTAGGGCACTCAACAGAAAAAGTCCGACAGTGTTCCCCCTATCGGCGAATAGAGTAGTCCCGAAGAGGAACATCAGAAATCTGCGGGTATACTGGGCTACCTCCTCAGGAGTCTCAGGCTCCATCTCCACCCTCCGAAAATGGGAGGAAAACCAAGTATATCGGACCCTGCCCGAAGATCTGTCAATTGGCGGGCAAGCTCCCAACAAGTAGATCCAGGCGGCCTCCCACTGGCCCATGTCCTCATCATATGGGATCGTCCAGCCCCCCATATCAAGGCCGGTCAATACGACAAAGTCAAATGGGGTCATAGTCATGTCCCCCGTGGCAGAGAAATGAAAGGAGTTGGTGGTGTCCCACCATCTCTCCACTAAAGCACCTATCAGTGTCCTACTAGCCGGACAACGAGATATCCCGGAGCAGAAGGGCCCAAACCCTGCCAAGTCAACCAAATCCCGGACAACCTCCGGAAGCTCAGCATACCACTCTCTAGCCGTAATAGAGCCATATCCTTGTGCTATACGGGAGGTCACCTGTATTTAGAATGAATACATACATTCAGTCTCAAAATGAAATAAATAAGCTGTGTGCAAATGAAATGTATGAGCTGTGTGCAAACTAAAACAGATGCAATGCAATGAGCTGTGTGCAAATCGAATATCTGGGCTGTGTGCTCAGATTTCAAAATCAGTGGGCTGCGTGTTCATCTCAAAGATCGAGCTGTGTGTTCAACATCAAGTGTTTGGGCTGTGTGTTCAAATTTTAAAATCAGTGGGCTGCGTGTTCACCCTCAATCTGGGCTGTGTGTTCAGAAAGTCAAGTGTTTGGGCTGTGTGCTCAGATTTCAAAATCAGTGGGCTGCGTGTTCATCTCAAAGTTCGGGCTGCGTGTTCGACGTCAAGTGTTTGGGCTGTGTGTTCAAATTTTAAAATCAGTGGGCTGCGTGTTCACCCTCAATCTGAGCTGTGTGTTCAAAAAGTCAAGTGATTGGGCTATGTGTTCAAAATTCAAAATCAGTGGGCCGCGTGTTCACCTTAATCTGGGCTGTGTGTTCAGATATTCAAAGTTTGGGCTGCGTGTTCAACCTTCTGTCAAGTGTGTGCTGTGTGTGCACCCTTCATTCAGGCTGTGTGTTTGGAAATTCGAAGTTTGGGCTGAGTGTTCAACTGTCAACATATGTGTGTGCTGTGTGTTCACCATCAGGTTATGGGCTACGTGATCGGAAATTCAAGTGTTCAAAATGCAAACAGAATACTATATCACGGGCTAAGCGTCAGAATAAGCTACGTGCTAAAAAGAGTAGACATGCATAGCAAGAGGCATGAAACGTACAAAAATGCGGGATACATTGCAGAAATGTAAAAAAGGCGAAGTAAATACCTCTCGTGCCTGATAGGAGAGGTGAGACTCCGGCTCCCGCAATAAAAGATCACCGGGTGCTCGATCATCGAAATCGGTAAAATGGTAGAAAACTGCCTGGGGAAGCACATGTGTCGGACGGTCGTACCTCTCGGGTATGAAGGGTCAAACCCTTGGAGGTAGAGCCATGATATCGGGATCATCCCCGGTGCCCAGAGGACCTCCACCATGAGGGAAATGACCAGCCATTTCAGAAAATCTGCAAAAAGGAGCAAAAATGAGCAAAATGAGCCAAAATTGAAAAAAGTCAACAAAAGTCAACTCTCGGGAAATGAAAAAGTCAACAAAAGTCAACCCCCGAGGAAATCTTCCAAATGTTGAAACAAACTTACCTCAAGTGGTGAAAATGAGAAAAGAAGCACCGAAATCAAAATTTAATCGGTCCAAAGTGACGAAAACTGAAAGATTTCGCGAAAACAACTTGCGTGGGGCATTGGAAAACGCGTATAGAGCACAGATCTGAGAGAGAAAATGCTCTAGGAAGGTAGAGGAGGCAATTTCGGAGCTGGAGTTGTGAGGAAAAAGTGTTTGGCCGAATGGAGTTAAAGAAATGAGGGCAAAAAGACCAAACTGCCCACGGTTTTGGAAAAGTAGCCGGCCAGCCACCTTTTCGGGCAGGCCAGCCACCCCTCTCCCTCAACCCTGGCCGGTGGTGTTCCCCAGGTGCCCACCAAGCTCTTTGCAAATTTTGGGGAGGATTGGAGTCCCCGGGACCTGAAAAAGTACAAGAGAAGTGCACTTTCCGTCGCGAAACAGCTCTACCGGAACTTCAACTTCAACTTTCGATGCGTTTCCATCGTTACTCGTCAAAAGTGAGATGTATCCTTTTTGAACATGTTGCGACCCCTCCGGGAGGTAAACCGGAGGTCGCGATTGAGTTGCCCTTATCAAAAACTTGCATTTCTTTGCTCATCGTTTTACGACAAATTCGCATTCGAGTTCACACTTGTTCTGCATTGATATGCACATCACTTGCATTCTCATGCACACCACCCATACTATTGTGCACGTTTCACGGGTGTTGTCATACCCTCATGCTTAACCTGCGTTGTCACGCGCGTTACTCCTCGCATTGCGATGCACTGTTCTATCGACGCCGCGATTGTCTGCATTCAATATCGTTTTGAAAACATGTTGTTAACAATGTTGTGCTTGTTGAGTCTCTCTCTTTTCAGGGCACGATATTGTATGTACGGTTCATTTGAGTCTGGTACGACCAGATGAACCGCGCAGGTATTGTATCTTCTCCGTGCGAGACGTGGCGAGAATTGAATAATTCTCCGCATTCTTAACTGCATGAAATGTAGTTATTGCTTTGCATTCTTGCTTAAAACTGTTGTATCTATTATGAATATGTGCTTCATTACAGCTTGCTGCATTTGCATGATCATTGAGTTACCTTCGGCTTCTTGCATTGCCAGTTGCATTTTGCCCCCTCTGCCTGCGGGCACATCTCTGTTTGTCTTGCCTATTTGTCTAAGTCTTCGGCCTTGTCAAAAATGGGTCGTCTCTGGGCTTTGACATTCACTCCCGTCACTTATGACTTCCGAGTTCTGTCAAAGAGGGGCAACTGTAGACACCCCATTTTTGACCGACCTTAGGACTCAGATGTCACTGATTGAGCGCACGGTGATATTGCATATTGTGCTCGTTCAGAAGTTTCAGAGTCCCGGCTGCAAGCCTTGCCTCCGGACTTCCGGACTCTTTTGCGCCTTGCCTCGGTTTGCGAACCAGGCTCTATTTTCTCTATTTTCTCTTCCCGAAGGGAGAGTGAGGTCTCGTAGATCATCTATCAGTGGCCGTAGGCTACGTTTCATGGTCGTAGACCATTTTTTCCATTTGGAGCCCGGTTTCCAGTTTTTCGGAGCCGACAGCCGTGTGCCTCGGTTTGGGACCGCCTAACCAACTCCGTTTGCTCTGGTTTTTGGCATACACCTTATTTCCTCCCTTTTGAGGAACACTGTGGCTCGAGAAACCAACTTCGTGGTCAAACGCCACCTCCGGTGCTTAACAACCCATTTTCGGGGCCCCGGGCCGCGCGTTTCGGTCCCCGAACCTCCGTTTTGCATCCGTTTTGGTTCATTTTTGGTGGAGACCTTATTTTCATTGTTAGAAAGCTTGTAGGAGGGTAGGAGGCCAGCAATTGTTCTGAAAAGCCAGCTTTATTTCTTCATCGCTCTTCGTCGCCCGTTTTTCTTACTAAAAAGCTAATGTTGACCACCCCGGGGCCACTTTCTTTAGCCCTAAACCCCATATTTGTGTTGTACACATCTGGGAGGCCACCAATATGTATAGGCCGGCCAGTAATTGTCCTTGACCCTTTTGAACCCCTCTAAAAAGTTGGCTTTTCTCTCTCCTGGTTCACATTTTCTGAGTTTTGACCACATATTTGTGTTGTGCACACATGGGAGGCCACCTTTTTGGGGTGGCCGGCCAGCAATTTTCATTGACCCTTTTGACCCCTTCTCCAAATGCCTTCCAGCTGTACCCTTTGTTTCTCCCTAGATTTTGTATCCGAAGGGGTGCCTTTTGGGAGGGAAATTTGAATTGGTTTTCCCCCCCTTTCCTTGGCCTCTCTCCCTCTATAAAACCAGCACCCCAGCTCCATTTTGAAGGGTTAGAAAATCAGCTAAGGCACCATTGATACACACACTCCATATCTCTCTCATTCAACCCTCAAAGCCCTAAGAGTCTTGCACCATTTACACACCAACTCATAGCACCACACCTCCACACTCCATTCCAGCAACTTGGAGGCCATTTACAGAGGTTGGAAGCTCAGAAATTTGGACCAAAAGCTGCTGGAGACTTAGGCTACAAGGGTGAGTCCCCATTTCCTCTTTTCTTGCCCTATTTTGCATGCTTTCTTAGCCTTTATTTCTTGCATTTTTGGGCTCCAACCCAAACTGGAAATAGTAATATTTTGAGCTCCTTTTCATGTTTGATCAAGGACCTCTTGCTGTTTGAGGTCTCCTATTGCCACTTGCCTCTTTATCTCTCTTTTAGGCCTATTCTTTGCATGATATTTTAGGCTTATTTTTGAGCTGTTTTGGACTTAGTCATAAACTGTAAAATGTCTTTTTTTGAGCCCCTCTTCAACTTTGTTGAAGGGATCTTTTCCATTTGAGGTCATCTGTTACCACTTGTCTCTTTATCCCTCTTTTTGGCCTTTTTCTTGCATGATAGTTTAGCCCTATTTGTGATCATTTTCGTGGATTGATGTAAACTTTAAAGTGCCTTATTTTGAGCCCCTCTTAAATTTTGTTGAAGGGTTGTTCACTGTTTGAAGCCAGATTCTGTCTCTTGTCTCTATTCTCTCTTTTAGGGCCATCTTTGCATAATAGTTTAGCCCTATTTGTGTTTGTTTTTGAGATTTGTTATAAACTGGAAAAAGGCTTGTTTTGAAATCATCTTCATGTTTTATTAAGGGAATTTTCTTATTTGAGGTCTCATGCTTCCTTTTATGCTTGATTGTCCATTGTTTTGAGCCTTACACCTAAGCTCTTGTTGCATGTTTTGTTTGGCCTTCTAACCACTGAAATCCAGTGGATTTTTAGTGGCTAGAACACTGTTTTGAGCCTCCAAATCAGAGGGGGGTGACCCCTCTCTCCTTGACTTGTTTGGTGGTCATTTTGGCCTTCCAAAGAGACCCTATCTTGCATGCTTCGAAGTCACTTTCCAGGGTCAATTTGGTGAGTTTTAGGACTACCATATTTGATTTTTATAGTTTTTTATGCCATGCTAAGTGTCCACCTTGTATGTTCTTAATAATCCATTGCATGGCCCTCTAAAGGAGCTCATCATTTTTGCATGTGTTGGCTTCATTTCAGTAGTTATTTAGGTCTATTTTCAT